TGGATCGGGTTATGTGTTGCCCACATGCGAGGTTAAAATGGCAGGACGCAAGAGTGACACATCTTCCGTTTTTGTCGTCAGATCACGCACCGCTGTATGTTCAACTACAGCCGGAGGTGAGAGGAGATCCGACTAGGCGACCTTTTAGTTTTGAAGCGGCTTGGTTGAAACATGAGGGGTTCAGAGAGTTGCTGGAAAATTCTTGGAAGAATGACATAAATACTCCGGAGGCTTTGGATGGTTTACGTGTGAAGCTACGAAAATGGAATCGAGAAGTGTTCGGGGATATCCACAAATGAAAGGATGCGTTAATTGAAGAAATAAAAGCTGTGCAAGACTTACTAGATATAAGTCAAACGGATGCATTGTTGAACAAAGAGGAAGAGTTGATTAAAGCGTTTGATGTGGTACTGGAACAGGAGGAGGTGCTTTGGTTTCAAAAATCGAGGGAGAAGCTGATTGCGCTGGGGGATAGAAATACAAAATATTTCCATACGATGACTATTATTCGGAGGAGAAGAAACCGGATAGAGATGCTGAAAGATGAAGCGGGGAGATGGGTTTCGGATGCGTCGGAATTGGAGACTCTTGCTGTGAATTACTACAAGAGATTATATTCGCTTCAAGACGTAGATGAGGTGGTGGAGAGGTTACCAGCTGTGGGCTTTGAACACCTCACTCATGAGGAGGTTTCGGTTTAAAATGGAGCGTTTACTTCCGAGGAGGTGGAGACATCTCTGCGTAGTATGGGTCGCTTTAAAGCGCCTGGACCAGATGGTTTTAATCCTGGGTTTTATCAGCATAGTTGGGAGGTTGTAGGGCCATCGGTGACGAGATTTGTCTTGGAGTTCTTTGAGAATAATGCCTTGCCAACAGCAATGAATGATGCACTTGTGGTCTTAATTCCGAAGGTGGAGAAGCCGGAGAGAATAACGCAGTTTCGACCGATTAGTTTGTGTAATGTTTTGTTTAAAATAATTACAAAAACAATGGTCATGCGCTTAAAGACAGTGATATCGAAGTTAATTGGTCCAGCACAGTCAAGTTTTATCCCAGGGAGACTAAGCACAGATAATATAGTTATTGTTCAGGAAGCGGTCCATTCGATGCGCCGAAAGAAAGGTCGCAAGGGTTGGATGCTTCTAAAACTCGATCTTGAGAAGGCTTATGACAAGATACGTTGGGATTTCCTAGAGGATACGTTGAGAGCGGCAATGTTACCCGAAATGTGGATTGCTTGGATCATGAAATGTGTCACTGGACCGTCGATGAATGTCTTATGGAATGGAGAAGAAACTGAACCGTTCCAGCCATCGCGGGGTTTGAGACAAGGAGATCCATTGTCACCATACCTTTTTGTCTTGTGTATGGAGAGGTTATGTCATCAGATTGGAATGGCCGTTAGCCTGAAAGAGTGGAAGCCGATTAGTCTCTCTCGTGGGGGACCGAAGTTGTCGCACATTTGTTTCGCAGATGATCTGATTCTCTTCGC